GGACTAACGGAGTGCATTTCGTATAGTTGAGGGATCAAAAAAGTGCAAAAATTTGTTGAGGGATCAAAAATGTTCATTTCATAAAGTTGAGGGACCAAATTTAATATTTAACCAAAAATAAAAGATGGGGCAAATTTAAAAGCTAATGAAAGTATAAAATAAAAAATGTATGTTAAATATTTGGTAAAAAAAATAAATTTAATGTTAATTGTCAATTATATCATAATTTATCACATAAAGTCATATTTTTTTTTACTACTTCAAAGTGTATATAATTTTAATGTTTTAACATCTTTCTTAACAATAAACCTTTAATTTATTTTGAGACGTTTTTCCTATAATTATTCATTATTGTAATTATTAATTATTTTTACCTTTAATTTTTTTAATTATAATTATTAATTGATTATATTATTTGATTTCTAATTTATTGGAGAGAGAAACTTTAATTTTTTAATTAGTTCTTGCCAAGAGTGAAGAAGAATCATTGTGTTAGTCATCTTTTTGTCTTGTTTTATGCGGATTTCGTGGTTATTTGTTAACTTTGTTGTTAACAAATTTTTTAGCCTTCAATTTAAGTTTTATGTTTATTACTCTTATATTAGCCCCTACAATGCAAATCTAGATTATCGTATACTTGATGTTTTTGTTTTATTTTCTTTCGGTTTACAATTTAATTTTTTTTGCATAAATTACTCAATTTCTAAATGGGCTTAAGCCTTAATGATTTGTTTTTAATCAACTTATGAAGAACTTCTTTTTCTGTTTATGATTTTTTTTTATATTTTGAATTTTAGGATTTTGGTATTTTTAATCCGTGTTCATGTTTTATCATTGTTAAATTTTTATTTATTTTTTATTTTTAAAATATTTTTTATTTGTAATTTTTAGATTTTCTTAATAATAAGAAATTATAAATGTTAAATAGCTCATTTAGCTTGAATTTTTTTTTTTGTAATTTATAATTGTGCTAGGCAAAAGGTGTAGATCACCCCCCTTAACTCACCTACTGGTGGCAAATCACCCCCTCAACCCACTTCACGTGCATACTACCCCTCAACTCACCTGCAGTGGCAAATCACCCCTTCTTTAATGCCGGCATCATCCTTCTGTTAGCTTTTAATAGTCCGTTCACCCACCCCTCTTCTGCATCTGATGTAGCATTTTTTTTCCTGAGATGGACAAACCACTTGGACAAATCACCCCAAAATCATCAAATCAAGCAAATTTCTTGGCGGGATGGTAGATGATTTGCAAAATCCCTAAGGCGCGAGAAATTGAGAATTTTTCTGGGTTAACAAAAAGATTACAAGTTTGATTTACAAAGCCAAACTGTAAAGACACGGAGAAAGTACACAAGACTCATGCTTTTGAAGTATTCTTTGAAAGATTACTGTAAAATTCAAGGGAGTTCCAAATTCCTTTGTTTTGCAATTTATCACATGCACCAGCTGCGAATCTACTGGAAAAAACACTTTCTTTTGCCGTGGATTGGACCCACAACCTATCACTTTCTCTGATTTTCCCCAGTTTTCTTTTTCTGATCCAAACACAAGTTTAATCCCTGAAAAAAGAAATAAAAATGGAAAAAAATGTTTACAATGCAAGAAAAATACCTCAAACTTAGTTTTTAAAATTTTAAAAATATTATTTTAAATTTTTTAACCTAATATTTTATTAAAATAATGTAATTATTAAAAAAAATTTGTTGTTTTATTTCAATCCTGCCGATAACGTTGGCATCAGAAAAAATATGAATTTTGTAGTTTTTTTTTAAATTTATTTTTCTTTAAAATGGTGAAAATGAAGAGAATTTATTACCATCAAGATAGACAAAACCGTCGGAATTGAATCCGATGGACCAAGGATAGCTGCCGGGGAGCTTCAAAGGAAGAGGAGCGCCTACGGTTAGTCCTACTAAGATCATCACTGCGTCGCCTTCAAGCTTCATTTCCTCCGATTCTGAATTCGCCTTTGCATTAGAATTTTCCTGTATGAGTTTGACCTTCTCGCCTTTCTGGTCGTCATTGCGGTCCCAACAGAACAAAATTGTGATCTCCAAATACGCCTGTTGAGGGAAAGCAGAGTTCCCCAACGGCGGCCCTGGTAACAGTGTTCAATTTTTTAAAGGACGAAGAGGGGAAGAAGACGATAAAAGCTAATAGAAATAAAACCATGTTTTCATTGATGATTCAGAGCTTGACAAAGAAGCCATGCTCGATGAAATGCAAATCTTAAAGAAATAATGTTCAATTTTTGAAAGATGAAGAGGGGAAGAAGACGATAGAAGACATAGAAGCTGGAAAATATAAAACCTGTCAAAAATAAAACCCTAGATCCCTAAATCCCAAAATTTATTTCCCCAGAATTTAAGGGCATAAAAATTTTTTTGGGTATTTGTCCAGGTGGCTTGTCCATCTCAGCATCCATCTCAGCATAAAAAATGCCACATCAGACGCAAAAAAAGAGTGGGTTAACGGACTGTTAAAAGCTAACGGAAGGATAGTGCCAACATTAACAAAGGGGGTGATTTGCCACTGAAAGTGAATTGAGGGGTTGATTTGTGTGTGAAGTGAGTTGAGGGGGTGATTTGCCACCAATTATTGAGTTTAGGGGGTGATATGCACCTTTTGCCATTGTGCTACTTCTAATGTTAAATTCTAATCAGGCCACTATCCTTAAAAACATAAATTAAAAATATTTTTATTTTTTATAAAAATTTATTTTTAATATTATATATATTTTTAATAAAATATAATAAATAATTATAAATTACAATCATATCTAACATTAGAAGTTATAACTGGATGAAAAATTAAAAGTCATTGATGAAAGCATCTCAAAATGATCACA